AAAAAAATACATAGAAAACATCACTCCATCATCCTTATTTGTTACATTCCCCTGCCGGTCTGGACCTCACGCTTCGTCCTTTCTCCGTCGGTTTCACAGGTTCCTCCCCCTCCTACGTGTACTCCCCCCCTTTTTCTATTCTGAGACATCGCCTCCCCCTATTTCCCCCTAAGTAACCATTTCGGTTCGATTACCGAGATGGGTGACCCGAGCCGCGTCGGTCGAGGACGACCTCCTTCTCGGTGAGATGAAAAGAGGGCGTCGTGCTCGCGCCGATGAAATGAAGGAGAAGAGGGTCTGCCACCATGTTGTCGACGTGACGGAAGTGGTCGCGCGCCGTGAAGCGCCTGTCTAATAGATCCGACATGGACGGCTGACCGGCCGCGTTTGCGATGCCATAGGGAAACCCCTGATGCAGGACGGAGAGCTGGGCGGTGCTGACGATGTAGCGAGGATTCGGCCAAGATTGAGTGCTTGACGTGGAAGCCGCAGCGACAATGTCCTCCAACATCTGCCTCGTAAAGGTGTCGTTCGAGAGTTCGATCATGGCGCCGCCTTGCCACTGCGACCTTGGATGGCGATCGAATAGACGAGGTCGGCGCCTTCTGGCTATCTTGACTCTGATCTCGCCTCAACTTGGATAGCCAGACACAAGAGAGAGCAGGCCGAGACCAAAACGAACCCGACTTCACAAAGTCACTCGGCCGTGGGGGCCAAATGCCAAATAGCTCACAAGGCTGCCAGCGGATTCCAACGCCCAGAAGCTGGCCGACGCTGGTTGGTATATGGCAGTGAACAAGCGCCTCATGCGCGTGAAAAGGCCGCCGCCATCTCTTGTGTCACACATCCGCGAGCGCGTCACTTGGTCTTTGTTGTTTTCAAAAGCAACTGGTTCCGCTGTCTGCAATTTTGGTGATGGTGATACATAATACAGAAGACATGACGGCTGCGATCCTCCCCGAGCCCGTCTCTCCTTCAACCGGGAGATGAGAATGATCGACCCTCTGTGAAAAAAAAACAAGGAAACATGGAAACAAAACGCCTCTCTTTCCTTCCCAAGTCCCTGCGAATCATTCCGGCTTCGTTTTCACCGACTGGATTTCCTCTGCGTGTCCTCGTTGATTTTGGCTCTTGTTACAGCGGACGAGCGAAGGCCTCTAGTAATTCAGCTCGCCACCACCGCCTCCTGCGACGTGATCCAGATCTTCATAGCTCTTGAGGCTTCGACCCTGCGTGGCCTCGCGAGGGCCGACTGCCGCACCCCCCGCGCCGCCGTCGCCCCATTTGCTGGGACCGCCGCGCCCGCGCGCTCCGTCGTACCGCGGATTCGGCCTGCGGTCGTACGGCCCGCTTCGGTAGTTACCGCCGCGGCCGCCGCCCCCCATGCCGCCGCCTCGTCGGATCGGACCTGGGCCGTCGCGACCATCGCCGCTCCAGCCCGAACCTTGGCCTGTACCGCCGGGGATGAAGCCGGGGAAACCGCCAGGAGGCATCGGGAATCCTGGAATCGGCATCATGTTGTTCATGTTGAACGTGTTGAGGTTGAATCCACGCGGCGTGCCGGCCGCAGCCTGGCCGTTGGGCGGCGGGAAATGGCCGTTTGAGTTGGCGTCGGTTCCGCGACGGCGCAATATGGGAGGGGTCCATCACGTAGGGAATCCACCACCA